CAGCTCAGGTGTATGTGGCTGGCACCTTAGCCACTTGAACCACAGGTGCCGAGACAACAGTGCCTTTTAAATCTTTTATTTGAGTACATATGATACGCTAATTTACCTTTTTCTCAGTAGCTGCACAGTAAGGATATTTTAGTATTTTTGGCCATGGCTTTACTGAGAAACATTTAAATATATTTTAATGTTTTGCCATTGTTAAATTACATTTATATGCATTGATAAACATCTCTATACCATATTAAGTTTTTTAGAAAGTTTAAGTGGGTCTTTTTTTTTTTATAGATATCAAAAAAATTGGAAGAACACCACCAGTTAGCACAATTATTTTGGTGGAAAGAAGGGAGGTTGGTTTATAAGCAGACTTTGACTTTTCTTATTTTAATTTTTTCAGTGACAGTCTTTTTCCCTGATAATACATTAACAGTCAAGTAATGGCAGGGACTTCCAAGAAGGGGATGATGAAGACTAATAAAGCACAGACTGTGCTCTGCTCTTTGCAGCTGTGTGTGTGGGGGGGTGTGCTGGGGAGGGTGTGGGGGAGGGTAGGAAATAGCCTTGGCCACTCTGAGGGGTCTGATGCTGAGCAGGAGACCTCAGAGGGCCATCCGGGCTTCTGGACTGTTCTGGGAATGGAAGGAGGGAAGAGCATGGAGGCCTCTCTCCAGGGGAAGGGAGGACTAGGGGTGGGAGAAGTGACCTTCCAACTATGGAGCCATTGCACCTTTCACCCACTTCAGGCATAGGCTTGAGAAAGAAAAAAGAAATTTAAAATCAGGCCTCCATCAGCTCCCAGGAAATGTGGCCTCCTCTACTGCACCCCAATCTTCTCTTCTGTTCTGATTGCAAAGGTTGGAGCCAGGCTCAACTCCCACCCCTCCAAGTCTTCAAATAAGCACAGCAGGGAGAGTTTCAGTGAAAAACCCACTTTAATAAGCCAGCTTCAGCTCAGCTGAGAACATCCCCTCTTGTATGCATAGCAGTGGAAGACAAGTCTTTCCAAGAAGCCTCAATCCATTAAGAGGTTATGACTCAGAGAAGGTAGCAGCTCAAAGAAGCCCTAAAATGAGAGGCAACATGGGTTTGGAATTAGTGAGTGACCAGACCGAGGTACTTTGCTATTCCCCTCCTAACACAGGCCCAGCAAGGGAAGCACAGAGACTTCACCTGTGCTCACCAACTGCCCCAGTCTTAGCCCCTCGCCACCCCTTCATTTTCCTCTGGCAGCTGGTCAAGGCCCCTGAGCCTTCAGAAGAATGGGGACCCTTCTTTTCCTTTGTGGTAGCACCATGACAACCAGCCCCTATCACCAAAGCCAGCCACTTAGTGACGAGGATGTACCCACCCAGGCCATGGAGAGAGGCTGGAGTGGCAGTTACCTTGAAGAGGGTGAGGGTCTGCAGGACTCCTGTGGTACAGGCCGTCTCCCGGATAGAGTGCATGGCCAGCTGGGGGCTGCCTAAATCCAGCACCCGCAGCCCTAGCCGAGAAGCCAAGATAGGTCCAATGGTGGTACCGCAGGGAGAGTCATTCCGGACCATGAGGTCCTGGGGAGGGGAGAGTCATAAGCAACGTGCTATGGTGCTCACAGAGCCCAGGAGGCAGCCCCCTTAGAACTGCAGGCTGGGATGGGCCTGGGGGATGCCCATTCCCACATCCGCAGAGCATGGAATTGGCCAGCATAAAATCACAAAGCCAACACCAAATGGCAGACCTCAAAGGGCAAGATATTCTGAATTGGTCCCATTCTCTTTGTGTGCACTGTCACCAGCCTAGTTCCAGCTACAGTCATCTGATCAAAATAATCCATTCTCCACATAGGAGGCAGGAGGAATTTTATTTTTATTTAATTTTTTTTTTGAGACAGAGTTTCACTTTGTCACCCTTGGTAGAGTGCTGGCCTCACAGCTCACAGCAACCTGAAACTCTTGGGCTCGAGTGATTCTCTTGCCTCAGCCTCCCAAGTAGCTGGGACTACGGATGCCCACAATGCCCAGCTATCTTTTTCTTTTAAGAGATGGGGTCTCACTCTGGCTGGTCTAACTCCTGAGCTCAGGCAATCCACTTGCCTCAGCCTTTCAGAGTGCTGGGATTACACAGTGAGCCATTGTGCTTGGCCTATAGGAAGGGGGAATTATAAAACATTTATCCTTTTTTGTCACCCTCTTACTTAACACATACACAGAGAAAAATCATTCACTGGCTTTAGTGTTTTAAAAAATATTGCTATTGGCATTTTGAAACTATTTTCCTTATACTATGGTAAAAAAAAAAATAAGAAAATCATAATATGATGCTACATATCAAAATTTTCAGTGTAAAAGAAAATTACAAAAGCAAATAAATAAGTATTCTTATTTTCTGAATAATTATAATATTAATTCATGATTTTTTAAATACACATTTTTTTCTAGCTATGCTTGCAGAAATGGCTCCGAAGCACTGTCCCCCCAATAACAATGAACACCCGCAGTGCCAGACCATGGTCTCTAATCCCCATTGTTCACTAAAAGCTAGCAAGTCTAGGGAGAGAAATGAACAAGATGAGTCTGCAACTTCTTGTTGCGCCAAAAAGGAAGGAAACATTCAAGAGTTCAAAAGGGCACTGGAATTGTGTTGAAAAGGCTTTCACCAAAGTTATGACAATTTGAGCATCGACTATCAAAACTGTAGAGAACTAGATCAAAGTTAGTAAAAAAAAAAAAACACATTAGTCTATGATAGCCAAACAAAGAAAGGAAAAAAACATTATTATCATTTGAGATGGTGATTCCTTATCTTGAATGGTGGTTAAGTAAAGAATTAGCATTTATCCTGCTTTTCAGCGGGAATTATTATTATTTTTTTGAGACAGAGTCTGACTTTGTCACCCTTGGTAGAGTATTGTAGCATCATAGCTCACAGCAACTTCAAACTCTTGAGCTCAAGGGATTCTCTTACCTTAGCCTCCCAAGTAGCTGGGACTACAGGCGCCCACCACAATGCCCGGCTGTTTTTTTTTTTTTTTTTTTTAGAGATGGGGTCTTGCTCTTGCTCAGGCTGGTCTAGAACCTGTGAGCACAGGCAATCCACCCATCTTGGCCTGCCAGAGTGCTAGGTTTACAGGCGTGAGCCACTGCACCTGGCCCTGGAATTACTTTTCATGATAACCAGACAGCCCTACCTGATTTGGGGGGAAGTTCTACTTCACAGAAGAATGGGAAAGATGACATGACTGGGGAGAGAGGGAGGAAGGGTTGTTTCTCAGTAAATTCTAATAAAACTAATTGAAGCAAGGATTACCAATTAGTGTTAGAACTACCAGATGTCTGGTTGTAAGGACCTCATCACTGGTACAGGTTACTGTCAGGTCAGGAGGGGAAAACCACCAACTGACTGGTGTGGAGGGAGTGGAGGGCTTTCCTGTTCCAGGGGCCAATCTTAGCATCCCCTAGGGTGGATCATACAATTATTGCTTATGATGCAATGTGAAGAACACACCACCATGATGCCTTCTAGCCAAAAATGTTTAACTTGAATCCATCAACTCTTTTTTTTCCCATCAAGTCTTTACATATAGATTTATTTACAAGAGGTATAGGGGCTAGAGACCCAGCTAAATGACACCATGAGGAAGCAACCAAACAAATCCAGGGAGTCAGATCTTATAGGACACGATCATCCTGGTTTCTTGAACAAGCCAATGTTATTAAAAATGGGGTGTGTCTGTGCTAGAAGACATTTAAGCGATATGCCAGCAGATATAATGCTTGCTCCTGAATTGGATATGAGAGGGTGGGAAAAAAACTATAAAGAATATTTTGGGACAGCGCCTGTGACTCAGTGGGTAGGGCTCCAGCTGCATATACCGAGGGTGGTAGGTTCAAACCTGGCCCCAGCCAAACTGTAGCAAAAAAATAGCTGGGCATTGTGCCGGGTGCCTGTAGTCCCAGCTACTCCGGAGGCTGAGGCAGGAGAATCTCCTGAGCCCAGGAGTTGG